AAAAAAAAAAAAAAAAAAAAAAAAAAAAAAAAAAAAGGGTTTTAAATAGAAGTTAAAAAAACAGTTTTAAATAGAATTTATTCTTATTTACGGAGACATTTTTTAATGGATAAGGTAATGATCTTGTTCTTATTTTTTATGAACTAGCAATAGTATTGTATCTGTGTTCATTCTAGTAGAGTATAAAACAATTCCTGCTGTGAAAAATAAGTTTTAATAATTACTTGTTCATTTTAGAATAGTCTGATGTTGTGAAATTGCTTAAAGGAAACTCATGAAAATTTAGGCATGAGCGTGAATGCATGCAAGTGTTTGTGGAACAAGAAATTTGAGGATAAAAAGCATATTTGACCAGCTTAATTTATATTTTAAGCTTTGCCAAGCATACACATGTTAGTTTATGCCAATTTAGGGTATAGATTTAATTTAGCGTATAGATTTAATAAATCCCTGTTCTATCATCCGTATCTCACCAAAATTTTCTTTGTTACACTCCTATGTCTTAATTTTTTTTTGCGCATCATAAGAACTTTGTCACATGCAGGAAGGTCACAAGCGCTTTGACAAAGCTAATGCTACTTACGACCAGGTCTGAATCATACATCTTTAACTCGAAAGAAAATATTAGGGCTTCACCCTGCATTATTTTTTTGCTTTTAAATTGTGTTCTCATTTTCAATTTTCTTCTCTCTTTGAATCTGATATTTTCTTCTAAAGTTTTTTCATCATTCTTAATCATGTGTTCAGTTGTCTCATTTTGACATTGAGGGAGCTATAAGTCGTGCCAATTAAACCAATGATGTAAGCTCAAGTATCTTTAAGTTGGATAGTCAGATGTATGATAAAAAGAGAAACTGAAACAATGGCACAGAGTATATTAGTGGATTTTTCCAAATATAATTTACCTAATGAGATTGTCCCTATTTGCAGAATAGACTGGTATTTCAAAACACGAGTAGTTACATCTTCAGATTGCCCATTTGGAGCCAAATTGCCTGATTTATTGAACATCATTTTTTAGGGTTCATTTTTCATACATAGATTACTGTATATATGTTGAAAACTGAGACTGCTTAGAAAATAAGGGAGAGGTCACTATTAAACAAGGGAAAAACTGAAAGAAAATATATATTAGTTTGCCATGACGAAAGCAATGTTTGGTAGGAAATGACATGATTGACGACTAGTCAACTTCCTGATAACTTTTCGACATTGATTTTTAGCTCTGATGACATGTATCTTCATGGAAAATTTGGTTTACATGCAAAATATTTCTTCTTCACGTTTCACACTTTGGATACAGTTGCACTGTCACTAGATTGCCAAATTTGGTGATCTAAATGAACCTTAGAGATCTGATTTGGGCAAACCTGATTGGAAGGTGATTTACATTCTGAACAATCCATGTTCTAGCTAAGGTGGAAACTCAGGAGGGAGGAAAAGCGGAACCCTATTTGTGATGAGCTGATATCCCAGTACGGTCCATTCTGACATTATTTTGCTAGTTGTATGTTCACAGTAGAGCGGACACGGTAGAACCGGAAACAATGGAAAATGAGAAGAATGGAAGGTAAAGATATTGAGTATTGAAGGGAAATGTTTAAGAAGTTAAAGAAAACCTTGGTAGGATTTAATATGATTTAGAAAGCTAAAGGGAAAGAGCAGAATCTTATTCAGAACTAAAAGGTAAACTTAATGAAACACATAAATATAAGTTCTGTTGTCAGTCTACAGTTGAACTGCAGCATCTTAGCTTTAGTCAGATGATCTTCACACCCCACCCCCCAAATATGGGGGACTATACTAAGGTTTTCGAAAAATATATTTGACAAAGAATCTCAACCGTTAATTTAAACGAATCTAATGGACTAGAATTATTTCATTAATGCACTTTAAATTTCCAAAATGAGTCTCACCTCATTACGAATTACACTTCTCTTTCTCTCACTCTATATATCCCATTCCACTCTCACCGCCTCTACCTCCCCCACACTCTCTCCTTCTTCCTATATATATCAATCAAATTCATCATTACATCAATGTTTGAATAAATTATTAAGTCTTCAATTGATTTCCATATCTAGCTTTCCGGGGGAAAACACTATTTAAGTAGTTTTTATTAGAATATATGACAAATAAATGTGTCCAATTCTCATGACAACAAAACTCAACGAACACAATTATCTTGAGTGGGCTCAGTCCGTCAAATTAGCAATCGATGGCAGGGACAAAATCGAGCATCTTACCGGCGAAACAACGAAACCTGCTGCCGACGACCCGAATGTAAAAAGATGGCAGTCTGAAAATTCTCTAATTATTGGCTGGCTCATCAATTCAATGGAACCCGCCATTGGAAAGCCTCATCTGTTTCTTCTCACTGCTAAGGACGTCTGGGAGGCGGTTTGGGACCTTTATTCGGATCTGAAAAATTCTTCCCAAATTTTTTATATAAAAACCCGACTTTGGAAGTCCAAATAGAACGATCGCGATGTTACTACCTACTACAACGAATTGGTAACACTATGGCAGGAACTTGATCAATGTTATGATGATGTCTAGGAAAAATCCAAATGATGCTGCTCGTCACATGAAGAGGGAGGAAAATGATAGGGTCTACATGTTCTTAGCTGGCCTTAACTGGAATATGGACGAGGTTAGGGGCCGTATCCTTGGTTGGAAACCACTGCCTCCTATGCGTGAGGTGTTCTCTGAGGTTAGACGCGAAGAATCAAGGAGGAAAATAATGCTGCACAGGACCGAATCTAACCTTAATCTGGATCCTAACAGTTCTGCCCTTGTGTCTAAAATGGATTCAGACAACGATGGGCAGAAGAAACCATGGTGCGATTATTGCAAAAAATCGTGGCATAAAAGGGATACGTGCTGGAAGCTTCATGGTAAACCAGCCAATTGGAAACCAAAGTCTAAAAGAGAGGTCGAGCCTACCAAACCATATCTGAAGAAACTCAAGAACTTTCAACCAATTCAGATGCAGTTCCTTTCTCCAAGGAACAATTAGAGCACCTGTACAAGTTATTTCAATCTCCAAAAATGTCCTTAACTCCTTCCTGCTCCTTGGTACAAAAGGGTAATTCTCTTGTTACTGCTTTTTTAGGTGTTATCCCTAATTGTGCTCTTTCTTGGATAATTGATTCTGGCGCAACCGATCATATGACCGGCTGCTCCCAATTGTTCTCATCCTATAGTCCATGTGCAGGCAATAAAATGGTAAAAATCGCTGATGGTTCACTCTCGGTAATTGTTGGTATAGGAACTATCAAACTCACCTCATTGATAACCCTCCATGATGTAATCCATGTTCCCAATTTGTCTTGCAATTTGCTATCCATCAGTAAAATCACATCTGATCATCAGTGTCAAGCTAATTTCTATTCTTCTCATTGTGAGTTTCAGGAATTAACTACGAGGAGCATGATTGGCAGTGTTAAGGAAAAAGATGGACTCTATTATTTTGACGAAGGACCTAACTCAAGTAGGCAATGTCAAAGTACTTGTTTAAATTCTGTTTCTGATTTCGAGAATAATAATGTTATGCTATGGCACTATAGGTTAGGCCATCCTAGCTTTCAGTATTTAAAAGTTTCCCAACTTACTTCGGAATAAAAATCTGTTATCTTTTCAATATGATGTTTGTCAGTTTTCTAAGCATCATCGTGCATCTTTCCCCACCCAACCTTACAAACCAACTACACCATTTACTGTGATTCATAGTGACATCTGGGGCCATATAGAATACCTACATACTATGGAAAAAAATGGTTTGTGACCTTTATTGATGATCACACGAGAATAAGTTGGGTGTATCTGATGAAAGAAAAATCTGAAGTGGAAATAATTTTCAAAAACTTTTACACCATGGTACAAACACAATTTCAAAAAAAAATATTCAAATATTGCGAAGTGATAATGGTCGAGAATATTTCAAAAACATGTTAAACCAATTTTTTCTTGAAAAAGGGATTGTTCATCAAAGCTCTTGTGTTGACACTCCACAACAAAATGGCTTAGTTGAAAGAAAAAACAAACATTTACTGAAAGTAACTCGGGGATTGTTATTTACCAATCAGGTACCTAAATATCTTTGGGGTGAAGCCATTCTTACTGCTACATATCTCATAAACAGAATGCCTAGTAAGATTTTAAACTTTAAAACACTTTTCGATGTTTTTCAAAAGTTTTATCCAACAAATCGACTTTCTTCATCTATACCACTAAAGATATTTGGTTGTACCACTTTTATTCACATTTATAAACATAATCAGGGAAAACTCGAACCCCGAGCCACAAAATGTGTATTTGTAGGATATGCACCCACTCAAAAATGGTATAAATGTTTTGAACCCATTTCCAAAAAAATGTTTGTTACCATGGATGTTACCTTTTTTGAATTATAACTCTATTTCACACCTCATCTTCAGGGGGGGAACCAAAACAAAGAAGATTCAGCAACTATCTTCCATGATCTTTTCCAAACTACAGAACCGCAAAATGATTCTTCTCCAACCTTGATCATTCAACCTGAAAACCCTAGTGTCATTATGCCAAGTGAGTCAAGTTTCTTAGATACTGGAAAGGGAGTTAAACCTGAAAACCCTAGCGTCATTATGTCAAGTGAGTCAAGTTTCTTGGATACTGAAAAGGGAGGGCCTCCTATAGTGACAACTCATGATGTCCCCAACGAAAGAACAAGGAAAACATTTGACATTGTCTACTGGCGACAAAGGACAACTTAAAAGAAAGGGTCCTCCAATCCTTTGCACTGCCCAGATTCCGTAAACCCTCCAGGTAATGTCCTCACCGAACCTTTACCTCATGTTCAACTCAATTCATCTTCTAATTCTGAACCCTCCAAGTCTGATTCCTATCCTGAGATAGGTGATTCTGAACTTCCCATTGCAATGCGGAAGGGTGTGAGGTCTTGTACCCAACATCCATTGTCCAATTATGTGTCATATAAAAATCTCGCCTCTATTTCATGCTTTTACCTCACAATTGTCTTGTATGGAGATTCCTAATACTGTGCAAGATGCTCTAAAAGTTCTTGAATGGAAAGAGGCTATCTTTGAGGAGATGAAAGCTCTTGAAAAAAATGGCACGTGGGAGGTAGTTGATCTACCAAGAGGAAAGACAACTGTAGGATGCAAATGGGTGTTTACAATCAAGTATAAATATGATGGCTCTCTAGAACGATATAAAGCTCGATTGGTTGTCAAGGGATTCACTCAAACCTATAGTATTGATTACTTAGAGAGATTTGCACCAGTCGCAAAGCTAAACTCGATAAGAGTTCTTTTGTCACTTGCAGCTAATCGTGACTGGCCTCTGCAACAGTTGGACATAAAAAATGTGTTCCTTAATGGCGACCTAGAGGAAGAAGTGTACATGGATGCACCCCTAGGATTTTGTGAAAAGTTTGGCACAAAGGTATGTAAACTGAAGAAGTCCCTATATGGATTAAAACAATCACCAAGAGCCTGGTTTGAAAAATTCTCTCAATTTGTTAAAAGTCAGGGGTATACCCAAGGACAAGGTGATTATACAATATTTATAAGACATTCACATGATGGG